CAGTTTATTTTTGGCAAAAACAACCTCAGGAAACTGGAAAGTAGCAGGTACCAAGCTTGATTGCTCATCTATTAAAATTAAGGGTAAAAATTCCATTGACTTCACTGGAAGCATGAACAATTCTCTGTTTCATGTCTATGTCAGTGATTCTCAACCAGAGTGCCGTGGCACCCTGGGGTGCTTTGAGAACCTTTCAAGGGAGCTCTGGGATATCATACAACGTTAGCACTATTAGGTTTGCAAACATGATTCACAACATAAACCCAGAGACAGAGCCATCCCTAAGGGTGTATGGGGTCTGGGGCATATCAGTCCATGCAGGGCTGGGGGGTGACAAGCAGCCAGAGCATGGAGTTGGTGGTGCATGGCAGCCGTGGCAGGGCCTGTATGACACTGTCTGCAGAGCCCCTCAAAGCACGGGGCCCAGGGCGGTCACCCCAATTCATCCTCCCCCCAGGGACAGCCCTTCCCAAAGATTTCCAATAGAAATCCACAATTGTGGTTTTTCTTTGCAAAAGAAGAATTGCTCTATTATTTTTTCTATAGACAAAAAAAGAGCTGGCATTTTCCAAAAAGTGCCTTGAGTTTATCCAGGAGTCCTTTGAGTCTAAAAAAAACTTAGAACCACTGGCCTAAGTGAATACATGAATGTATTGCTACTTCTGATTGTGAGGGCAATTTATGTTCCAAATAGAATGATTGCTTGCATTTTGAATATTTGAATATTTGTGGGAGCAGGAGAGGAAGAGAAAGGATATTTGCAAATATCTTATAAGACAGAGGTTAGAGGGAATGCTAATGCAGAGTGAATGAAACTGCCTGTATATGGGAAGCAGCTTATAAAGAACAGGGTTTTAAGACATGATTTGGCCAGTCTGGAAAATGTGGATGAAAGGACTATGGAGCGATCTCAATGCTGTAATCCCATTCTACAATTTTTATTTGACAAAAGTCGAGGTTCATGGTGTGGACATATGAAACAATTACCGTGGAGCAAATTTACCCTGGATTTTATACTGTAATGTATACTGTGTAATAGACAGAAGACACACAACCAACCCCATCAAGCTGTCACCAGGAGGTGCTATTAGTACCTGCCTGTTTAGTGGCAGGGAACTGGTTTGCATTGAGCCAAATAGCTGCCCCTGAAGGGAACTAACTATGGGAGTAGACATATGACTGGTGTGTAGTTACACCAGTGCATAGTTAGTTTTCATTTCTCAGTCACTGACTGAGAAACTCCAGAGTGGAGAGAGCAACACCTGAATAAGACTGTGAATCATGTGCCTATTCCACTTTTACCAGTCAAATTATTCTAGATTGTGTTGTGTGTCCACACCTTGTTTCACCAAAATACTGAACTTATTACCTACTACATTAGACATTTTGATTTCATACAGTTTAATTAGAATGAAACATCCCTTCAAGGGAGGAGGTAATTTGATCATTTACCCTGCAATCTCACAACAGAAAACAGATGCAAGGGTTTGGGTACTGAAATTCATATTCAGTATGTTTATAGTTTATAAATGAGATCCAATTGTCAGTGAGAACTTATTTGTCTCTGCCTCCTTTTGAAAGAAAGATAAAAACCAGAAGCAAAATTCACTCTTGCTTGAGAAAAACAGTTCAAAATAATTAATCAGATAATGAAATTCATACACAGGTATGTAATAGAAATAAATTTACTATGTTTCTACTGTTGGCTCTCCCCTCACCCCCATACACCCAGTAAAATTAAAATTACAGGGAGAGAAGGTTAATGCCTTTCAACCTAATGTCCTCTACGGTGCTCATCCAGCATGAAACCAATTCCATGTCTCAAATAGTGTGAAAAAGATAAGCAATATGGCTTACAAATAAATCCAGAGGAGTTTTGGAGGACTGTGAACCAGCTGAACCAAAGGACAGACTCCCTATTTCTCTGAGCTACAAACTGTCCTTAAATTCAGACAAAATAGGTAATTACTAGGGCTGTGCGAAACGGCAGCGTTCCATTTCGACCAGTGTTTCAATGGAACAGTGTTCCGTTTCAACGTTTGCTTAGAATCCAAATGGCTGTTCCCTTCCGTTCCGTTGAAATGTTTTGCTGTTTTGACCCTGGTTCAATGTTTCACCCATCGTATATAATAGGGGAGGTCAAAACAGGCTATAACTTAGTCATTTCTGGGCCGATTTGGATGAAACAACTGTTCACCAGGGCACTCTTGGGAAACACTAGGAGTAATGGCCACAAACTCCTGGAAGATCATTTCAGGCTCATTTCAGACTCAACATTAGGAAAAACTACTTCACAACCAGGGTGTCCAGACTGTGACCATTACTCCTACTTTTCCCCCAGGGTTCATAGATTCATAGATT